ATCATCGTCTGTCTGATGTCTTCATTCTTTGCCACCCCCCAGAAGGTGTCTGGTCATCTTGCCCTGTCCAGCAAGAATCCTGGTAGGTGGATTCATGTGGAATCGCCCCTGCCCTTGCTATTTCTTTAGTAATTATCAATTAACACCCCCATTCTTCATCCATAAGCCCCACCTTGCCCTTGCTTCATTCAGGAGTTGACTTCAATCACTCATCCATGTGTGGCCATGAGTGGTAGCTACTTACAGCAGTGGTCTTGAATTATGTCTTCCTTGATGTGCTTTAAGTGTCACTGAATAGTATTTCTTTTACCATCCCCCTAAAAATCTCTGAATTTCTGTCCATCATGTAAGTAACTGAGCGTTGTCGGTGTCACTTAATGTAATCAACACAGGATTCCCTGGGTTCAAATCGTAGACCCATCACCTCCTGCACTGCCTTGGGCCAGTTTAAACATCCTGAGTCTTGATTTCTCCTACATCAGTGAGAGGTTTACTCAAAGAGATCCGTCCAATGCCTTCTACACAGCATAGACTGAACACACACGAGCTGTTACTAACAGTCATACTAACTTCATACTGTACCCAACTGTATATGTTTTAATAAAGGTCACAGGGGACACTGTCCCATTTCAGTTTAAGTAGATTCTTGGCATTTTCTTATACTGTGATGTGATAGGCTCTTGATCCTTCCCCAAAATGTCACATAAAGACAATTCAAAATTTGATAGATATTTATCTTAGGTGCTGGAGACACTGAAATTTGCATTTTTCTCTGTTCTTCAAAAGGTGGAAATAAAATGAGGCCAGAGAAGCACAGTGAAATCCTGGGTTACTCAGAACTTAATCAAGCCTGTAAAACAGTCACTCAAGTGGGGTTGCCCAGAGGTCTCCCCGCTCCTGCTTGGAGGATTTATACTTGCTTAACAGTGTGGTATCATTTCTGTCCCTCCACTGAACCGCTTCTTCTTAAATCAGTCCTTAGTGTTTCATGCACTTACTGGCCATGTAACGACTAGTCCAGACCAGAGCTCGGGATCTGGAGACTGTCGTATATACCACAGGACCACGGGGCGATGACTAGGATGGAACTGTGTGCCGTGGTGGCCCAAGTACAGGAATAGTGAACTTTCAGGAGGGTAAATTGGATGACTTAGTTGTCACTGGAGCATCTCAAGGAAAGCAAAGCTGTCACTGAAGGAAGCTTCTGGGGACAAAATGTATACTATAGGAAAAGGGAAGTGAGGGTGTAACATTAGAGGTCAGAGTAGCCTAGTGTGGTCAGCAGAGAGCAATCACTGTGACTGAGTAAATCTGAGACTCCCCAGAACGTACCCTCCCGACTCGGGTGTTGTGGGAAGCCTCACTTGGGCCCTGGGTCCTCCCTAGGCTATCAGGAAGGTTCAGTAGGTTGATGGTTGATTAGGACTCACCTGCACCCCAGGTCCATGGATGCTACCACCACCACCCCCTCACTTGGGAGCTGGCCATGCGCTAGTCAGGCTGCCATGGGAGACCCTGCCTCAGCACAGCGCCAGCAATAGGCTGTGGACACTCAAACAGAGCCCTGCTGGGTACAGTTATGCTTGCAGCCTCAGCTGTGGACTTTCCTGGGGTTTGAAACACGCTAGTGTCTCTGTCTTTCAGAGGCAAGAACCTCCATTCACCCTGCGGTGATCATATCAAAAGGAGACTTCCTCTCATAGCGGGCCATCCCCATCACTGCTGTGAGCGTTCTCTTGCTCTCTTGATTTTTGTTCTTTTTAGCACATGTTTGCATCCATCCCGAGGAGCTGGCACACAGACACAGCACAGTTTAGTCCTCCTTATGTCCCCGTATTCCCTCACTTTGTCCTCCCTTCACCTTCTGGTCCCCTTCCTGTTTGCAAGCGATCTATTCCTGTAATTTCCTTTTATTTTGTTCTTTTACTTTGCAGTTCTCATATCAGAGAAATTTAAGCTTGTGTGATATGTAAGTGTGTGTGTGTCTCTGATTTATTTCACATAACAGTGTGATCTCAAGATGCATCCATCCCAACGAATGCCTCAAATATATCCTTCTTTGAGGCAGAAGAGCACTCCATTGTGTGGAGGTGCAGCATTCTCTTTATTCATTTATCTCTGCTGGACTCGCTCTCCTGATTTAAAACAAGACTATGAAACTGTGAGAGGGTGACCCAAGTTTCCACGATGATTTTGATCCCTGATCTTACAGCAACATTCCTGTTCCAGCTGCAGACCATGGGGATGTAGCTGCCTGAGTAATCACCACTGACAAAAATGTTACTTGCCTTGTGAGCCTAGTATTCCCTAATTTTGCTCCTTTTCATACTTTAAATGTGTTCACATACATCTGTGGTGGAGTCCTGAGAGGTAGAGGAAAAGATGAGTACGATCATGAATGAGTGCCGTTGGTTACTGAGAGGATCTCTGGTGTTTCCTGCTAAACTTGGGACAAGTATTTCTGATATGAATTCATAGTTGTGTTTTCTTTCAGTTCTTCCCTATTTGGCATATATCTTGTAGATAAACTGGGATAGACTTTGAGTGGGCACAAGTTAAAGTTGGGCCAAAAGGAAGTAGAGAGACCACACTTACCTCCACAGAATCAACCTGCCCCAGACAGGGAAGGAAGCAGGGGGAAGACTTGCCTAGTGGGATCAGACCAGAGAGCCAGACCCAAGGAAAATACTCCATCCGAGGTGCTCGTGATAGGATGTTTTGACAAGTGATTTCCTACTATGGAATGACTTTGGCTGCTGCAGTATCTTTTCAGGAGAAATAATAATGATACTAGGAATAAAACAGAAAAATTAACCACCTGCCTACAAACTAGAAATAATCATGAAAAGAGACTGGCACTTGGCCATAACCTCTCAATTATGGGAAAAGAGCATACTAGAGATATTTTTGTTAATGTTACTTTGAGAAGCTGTGCTATCCTAATGGAAATAAAGAAAAGGAAAGGGATAACTTTAAATAAACTTTTCTTGATTAATTCTATCATGATTTTTTAAAATTTTATTTACTTTTATTTGTACATGTTTGCAATCCTTAATAATTACATTCACTGTAGAGGATTGGTATATGTATATAACACACTCCAATTCCTCTTTTTCTCCCTCCAAGCTCCCTGGATTTTTTTCCAGCATCAGACTCATTTATTTCTCTTTTAAGACATTCTATAGCTAATTATCATATATACAGATTGAAACCAGTCAAACTGATCAAAGAACACATGAACTACATAAGACAATTGTACTGAATTGTAAGGCAAAGTGTACTTTTGCCTTTTTTGCTTTTATTTACTTATTTATTTTGAGACAGGGTCTCCCTGTGTAGTTCAGGCTAGCGTTGAATTCACGATATAACTCAGGTTGGCCTTATACTTGCAGCAATCCTCCTGTTTCAGCTCCTTGAATGCTGGGATTACAGGAGTACACACCACCATGCCTGACTCAAGGACACTTTAAAATATATTCTCCACACTGGAATATAATACCTTTTTCCCCTCTTTTTTTCTGTTATCTGTCTTTTATTTCATTCTTAATGTGGTCTTGAGGTACATCATTTTTTTACAAATGACTGAAGTTTATCCCTTTTGTGACAGAGTATGCTTCATTGTATATAAATACCCCATATTTTATCCTTCCATGTGTTGATGTCTTAATATGCAAGTGTGATTTTCCAGCTGTCGGCACTATTTATTCTTTTTTATATTAGATTCTTTTTATGTGCTTTTTTATACTAAATATTTTTCTTTTGAGAACAAGAGATTAAATATCTTTCTTAATATTCCTATATAATATAATGGCTGGTATTGTTTTACTTTGTTTCTGTTTCTCTGTTCTTTTCCTTAACCTTGGTATGTGTGTTGTACCTTGAATATCTCCATATAAGTGTTCAAAAAATAAGGGGAAAAAGAGAGAGAGGTGACTGTGAGTTTGAGGGTAAGGGCACAGCAAGGGCCACCTGAGGCACAAGCCTGTGATGCTCACTGAGGGCACTGGGCTGCAGGGGAGTGTAATGTGCCCAGATCTTTATTTCGGAGATAGCACTACTTTCTAGCATTATGAAGGAATCTCTGGGAAGATACAAAATAGGAATTTCTTCCCTTTCATAGCAAGAGCAGTGGACGGAGGTAAAATCTACTTGGTGCTGTTACTGGTTTAGGGGAGACAGGCAGAGGGAGGAACCTTGGCGTAGGAGGCAATGTTCCCCCTTCCTGAAGAACTGACCTTCATGTAAACGGACACGGGGCCCACACTTGTAATTTCTGACTTCCCGTGCTCAGTCTAGTACTTTTGGCTTAACAGTCAACTGAGCCCCTGTTAGGAGATCAGAGCCCTTCAGGAAACCCATGACCACGTTCAGTTCCATAAACACTCAGAATCCTTTCAAGGATCAGATCAGAAAACTGCGGGAAGCAATGCTGATGGCACGAGTTGTTGTGAGATGCATGGCCCATCCTAGTACCAAAGACGAAATCCTAAATGTCCTAGAGACTACTAACAAGTCAGAGAGTGTCAGAGGAACAAGGCAGATGTCAGTACATGGCACAGCGTGCGACTCAGAAATGGCACTGTCATTTTCGAAGTTAACAAACCTGCTTATCTTTTGATTGGATATCAGGGTGGTATTTTTGTAAAATTAAGGATGCTGCCTTAAAATGAGCACACGCTCACTTGATGATGATTAAAAATAACATCATAAATAATTTGCCAGATGCTGGGGAAGGTGTGAAAGGTGACATAATCATCTTATTCTTCAATCAACAACATGAGGCAGAGATTCTTACTATCCCCTCTTCCAAAGGTATAGAAAGATTGCATAAGTGTCTTGAGGTTTGTCAGTTCTTAAGGACTGGAACTCTGGTTTACTGCCATCACTGTGGAGGTGGTGGCAATTAACTTAAAAGCTTGTCTTTGCCTATGTTCCTAGATGAGTTAGTGATTAGTTAATATTTTCATTAAGACTGATATACATATGTATTTTTTAAACAGATGTCTAGGATATTTCGACACTCTTCTGGAGGAGGTCGATTCATCAAATCTCATGTCATCAGATTAAGGTACGTAAACCGAGTCCGCAACTTCAAACTAACTACATTATGGTGAGGCATGTAATCACTATGATTGATCAAGTGCCCTGCAAAAACGTGTGCAGAAACAGATATTTCAGAGATCTTAAGTAACAGAGGTCATGCTGTCTAACCATTTGTCACTCACAGTGGGGAGATGAGACAGAAAGTGTTGCATGACAGGAAAGTGTCAACCAGAGAGGAAAGATGCAGGAACGGTACAGATGGTGCTGCTAACATCATCCTACCCTTTAGGCAGAAATTATGCCTTTTTAATGTTTTTTTTTAATTTTAAGCTTATACAACCATCAGTTTATGGCTTTCCATGGTGACTTTTTCTTTAGAAGTCAGTGCATTTTGTTATTATTTTTACGTGTCTTTATTTTAATGCTTTGCTGAGAGGTTTAATTTCTTAATAAATTAAGCATGGTATTATTATCTGATACTAAATTTAATTACTAGAATCCATGCTGAATGCATATATATATATGCTATACATTATCCATATCATATATATGTAATAACAAAATTAGTACAAATATACACAAATCTTCTTCCCTTCTTGTTGGTAAGGTGAATATATGTGAGTTGTTAAATGATGAAGGAGTCCATGCCTTTTTTCTCTCTTGCCCTTCTTTCTTTTTCACATTTTTTATTCTTTTTTTTCCTATTTCTCCTTTTCTCTTTCTTCTTCTCTTCTTTTTTTCCACCTGTCTTTCAAACTAAATTAACCTTGAAAGGCCATTACAGGCTTTCCATGAGTACACATCACAAAATAGTATATATTTGAATCATTATTTAAATTATTTTTGTCTATAAACTGTTTTCCCTAGTGGCTCAATTATCAGCTGATCATGGCAGCACTTTCATACAAACAAAGTGTATTTTACATCCTTGGTTCAGGACTTATTCAGAGGGTCAGAAGTGGGGGCCAAGCAGTAGGCAGTGATGGGTACTGCGAGTGAAATCACCCGCTGAACTTCCTGCTTCTGGCTGACAGGCAAAGCATGAGCAAGAGCCTGGAAACTGCCGTGGGAAGTGTCTCAAGGGCCAGAGCTAGAAATGGGACACGTCATTTCTGCTCCCATCTCACTGGTCACAGTTCATTAAAGAATGAGTGGAGACTTGAAAAGAAGGTAGAAATGCAATCTAGCTCTGTGCCCACCAGGCAAATGAGACTGGGTTTGGTAAACAAGTGTTTCACACATCACTGAGAAATAATGACCTTGAGAACAACTGTTACTCAAAGACTTAAGAAGCAAATCCTTTGAGTGCATGTCAAGCCTGAATTTATGAACATCTCCTTCTACAAAACCCTCTGAACTATGAGCCAAGGAAACGCAGAAGATGATTTTTCCAGGCCTGTATCTCACCAGCATTTCTAGCATGTTGCCTTTACTCCCCCAGGGCTTCTAACTCCTCCAGATCATTTTACATCCATTCCAATTCCTTCATCAACTGGTGGTTTTAAAGTCTTGTGTGCACGCATATCATCCATGTGTTTCATTAAATGTACTGAGTCCTAAGAGGTAAAGAGTTTGTGAGTAGAGAAATGGCATTGTTTGCCTGTGTTTTGCCCTCAAGTCCAGATGAACACGGCGTGAACGTTCTCATGGTGCTCATGTTTCGGTACCCGTCCACTGACAGTGTGGAGCGAATCAGGAGGAAGGTGGAAAGGACTTTATACCAAAGTCTGAAGACCAGGCAGTTGCTTTTTACTATAAGTAGGCCATCACTTAAACTCACACGTAAGCCTTTGATTTTTATTTGCCATTTTCTAGTTTCCTCGTCTGTAAGTCCTTTATTTTCAATAATAATTAGACAGAAGTATTCTCCCATTAGAAGAATTCATCACTGATAAACATCAGTGTATAATTTTCTAAACCTTTTTATGTTTCCTCAGCCCAATCAGAAAATAAAATATTCTTGGGTTTTATTTTCCAGTACAATTCGACAATTTGAGCTAAATATCAACCAGAGTAGAGAGTTATTTACATATTATTTGGTCATGGAAAATTCCATGCCCTCTTACAAGTATGGATACTTTTAATAACTACAATATGGATACCTCAAATAATTAACATTTCAATTAATGAACATTTGAACAAAAATAATATGAAAAAGAAATATAAAATTCTTCCAACTAATTCTTATTTTATCCTAGCTATTGACAGTAAGAAGATGAGGAATCTTCTCAACAGTCGTAAGTTCCAAAATCAACAGTTAACTCTCTATTACACTGTAAAATAATGAAAATAGTTACAGAAGAGCTAGAAGCACTATTTCCAAGTATTTTCTCTCCTTTATGTTTTCATAAACCAAACTATTAGTTCTTGTATATTTTATTATTTTTTGTATCGTAAGTGTTAAATTTATAAATTCATGCCAAACGTAATTTTCCATAAGCTATGAAATATGCTTTAAAAATTATACAATATTCTAGATGTTATATTAATATTGTCTTTATTTCTCTTTTAATATCCTCTCACAATTCAAAAGAGTGCTTTTACTGATAACGAGTTATGATTTTTCTTCTGAAGTTTTTTGTTTTCTTGCATTTTATTGAAATTTCTCATTTTCTACCTCTCTCACAGCCCCAACCCCTATACCCAAGCATGTTTTGAGTCTTTTATGGACACAGATAGACCTATTAAAATGTTGTAAGGACACTATCAAGTCTTTTTAAAGATAGTTTTAAAGCCTAATTTACTGAAGGTTTGAGATTAGGGAATAATAGTTTATTTTAAACTAGACCTTTAAATCCTAGAAGATGAAGAGATCATTAACATCAAAGGCAAATCCTGACCTAAGCTCAACACTGAGCTCTCTCTCATTAGGTAAAGGCTGCTGGTTTGGACCTGGACATTGCTCATTTCCTGCCCTCTCTCCATCTCTTGCCAGCTGGGTGACCTCCATCAATGCATGCTCCCTCTCAAAGCCTTAGTTTCCTTATTCTGAAACTTGAGAAAACCTGTAAGTGTATCGAAAGCATTTAGCAGAGGACCTATACATGTTGATATTCAATCATCTGTTCCTTGATGAAATAAAAGTCAAAATGCCTGAAAAACTTCCAACAGAAAGTAAAGCACCTTTTCTGAAGCTTAGACATGTGCTGTGTAGTGAACTGCCACAGCACCATGTCAGGAAGTGAATCTGCAGAGGGAATAATTCCCCTGTATCTACCAGCCCCTTATAAGTCTGTGTTTCACCAGTCTGGCCAGTCTGTTCATTTCTTGAACCTCACCATCAGCTTAAAAACTCCTAGTTTGTGTCAGTTTCTATTTCCATTCTGCCTCTGCCTTGTGTGTTTCCCTCAAAAATGCCACAGTGCTGAACTCACTCCTCCTGCCAGTAAAAGGCATTTTAGGGAATCACTCAGTAAAACTGAGTAAGTTTCCCTGTGCACAAATCTATTGTGTTCTCAATTAAAATTTTCTTTGCTCATACTTAAGCTCGTTTATGACTTCATAGTCTACTTTAGCCATCTAGAGATGCTTTATAACAGAAGTCAGCCTTGGACTGAATTCCTTGAAACTTTAGTAAATATTTCTTCTGAACAGAGGTGCCCACAGGGAACTTCAGAGGCTCAGAGCAAGGCAGACTGGGCGCTGGTTTCTCTAAATAGCGTCCTCCAATATAAATTAGGATTCTGTTTTTTCCTTTTCCTGACAAACTAACGTGAGTGTCCATGGCAGGCTGTGGGATAAGGATGACACCTTCAAATGTACCACTGCCGGCATCCTCCTATACCATGAGGATTGTGCAGGGACAGGAGACGGCCATGGACGGAGAGTGGCCGTGGCAGGCCAGCCTGCAGCTCGCAGATGCGGGCCACCAGTGCGGAGCCAGCCTCATCAGCAACACGTGGCTGCTCACAGCAGCTCATTGTTTCCGAAGGTACGTCCATCAGGGGAGCCTTGAATGCCCTGCCCCAGTTTTCTCCTGCCAGTGATTCAATGTGCAGGAAAAGCCCAGTCTCCTGGGTCTGTTCTCCGACCCCTCAGGGTAGACACTGCTCTGTCCCTGAGCACACTCCACCCACTCTGTGCCCATCCATGATGCTTTATGTCATCAATGGTTTCCACCATGTATTTCCTCCGTTGCCAAGATTCTAGTGCTATGGGTACTACTATACATGGATCATTTTAGTGTAAAGACTATCATGCTGTAACAAGCTTAATCTCTTCCACACACTCAAGAAGCAAGTAGCCACTTCAGCCTTGCCTTTTTGCCCCTAAATCAGTACAGCTTCCCAGTATCTATATCCACTATTACTCCACAAATGAAAATTTTTATAGATGTCCCTCTTGGCAGCCTCCCTTCTTATTGCAGTCTCCAAGCTGCCTGGTGGACTCGGGTGATTCAGAGAGGTCTGTGAGGTCCTCACACGATGGCAGGGGTGACGTCCAGCCATGCAGGACCACTGTGCTGGTTGTCACTGTCGTGACTCAGTGGTGTCAGTTCACACACATGCACATACACAAACACAAACACACCGTAAAGCCGGGAGATGAGGTGCACGCCCTGTGTTTCTCCCTAAGGTTTTACCACCAGGGTAAAGGAAGCATTTCCTGTAAAGTCTCAATAGGCAAAGGCTCTGAGGAAAGCCCCTTTGCCCGACCAGTCGCATTATTCACAGACTGCAAAAGGAGCCCAACCTAGATGATTCAGGAAGGATTTCTATCACTTTCCTGTGAGTAACAATTCAGATGGTTTCAAGTCACTTGTACCGTTGTTTATGAGACGAGGTGCAGTGAAAATGACCTAATGAATTTAACATGGTTGTCTGTCACTTGCTTACTAGAGAAGACACTCACTTAACATATATTTATGAGTCCAAAAATAGCTAGCATCGTGCCCGAGGTGTGGATTTGAGTTGCAGTCACTTACTAGGACTTTGTGACTTATTCATGTTCACGTAGCTCCTCTGTCTTGGAACAGTTTTTGTATCATCCTTGTTATTTACAACTGATCTGTGGTTTATATAAATTATAAGTTACACATTATATAAATTTTGATAGTATGAGGGGATAGGAATAGACTCGAGGCAGAATATAAGAATGATTGGATGAAATAAGTTTAAAACTTTTAAGGAAAATTTAAGAGGGAGCAAAGAAATCTGGCAGTTGATGGTGATTGTTATGTCAAAGGAAATTTTTGTTTGCTTTTTTTTTTTAATATGGGAGATATAATTCAACAGAGTTGAAAAAAGTGATAGTGATCCTTGCAAAGAAGGATTCCATTTTTGGAATGATATAATTCTATGTAATCTCATAATGTATGAGAAAAAAGAATATTTTGAAGACAATATAGCTATTATGTAACTAGCCTTTAAATTTTGTAAATGTAGTTTTAATTCAGAAATCATTTTATTTTAAAACCTATGTGTAAGACAAATCTTAACACCTTTATTATCTATGAAAAATTATTTCAGTCTTTCTGAAACAGTTTAGGTTGGAGGGAAAAAGTTCTTGTGACCAGGAGACCTGGACCATTTCTTTTTTATCTTAACTGTTTTGAAGTGACTCTTACCGCAGAAGTCCCTAAACTCTGGGTCTCAGTAGCCTTATCCACAAAGCATGTTGACTTGGGTGAGCCTATTACAGGAGGATTCCTCTCTCAGACAATACGTAAAGGGAGGGGACGATTCAATTTTGTTTTCCTAGGTCACGAGCTCCTTATACTATTATATCTCACAGGATCCTCTTATCTAGTGTCTGGATTTCAGATGAATGCTACAGTCCTCAGATTACTGCTTTTATTAAAATCTCCCCTCACTATCTAAATTAACAGAACAGAGAAGAGAGGAACTCCCCTTCCTGTGCTTGAGTTCTTTCTCTCATCTTTGGGACAGTGGTGAATACTGAGAAAGCACTCGCCTTTCAGGCTTTCATTATTCTTAAAAGCTGATAATTCACCAACATAGTCTTCAGTCATAGAAAAGAAAATCCCATTTCAACTTCTGTTTACTTCCTTCTGCATAATTTACCTTCCCCCGTAAAATTTTAAGTTTCTATATATGCCCAGTCATTTTTAATGGGAATAATTTTAAAAAGGGTGAAGTAGGTTTTGGAGAAGAATTGGGTAGGTAAATAGATGACTACAGAGAATTTGCCTGCATTGTGACCTTTTGGGAATCAAATTGCATAAAGCCAGGATTAGTAAGAGGGACTCACCTGGGTGACTGGAAGGGTGGTGGAGGCTAAACTTCCAGTTAGGGAGCTTAGTCCTTGATTACCGGGAGCAGTGTGACCGTAATGGATCAACAACTCAGTGCAGATGAAGGCTTGCAAAGCACACATTGTGCTTAGCATCAAAAATCACCATAGAATCTAGTAAACAAAAGCCAACAACAGTCATAATAGATGAATGAATGGAAGACTCAATTTAGAAGAAACATGCCTCTTAGCATTCTTATTACCTACAGCAAATTGGGATTGCTTTTTATACTTTTCATTGAAATTAGGAAAAAAAAAAAACAAGAACCAAAGAGTTCCTAGTAAGTCAGTAATTTAAAAATTGAAAGTTAAAAAATTGGAAGTTGATCTTACTAATTAATAAGTTGTTAATAAATTGTACACAATTAAGGGCATGAGTCACAAGGAATCTTTTTCCCAGAAAGGTCCATAAATTCTTTCATCATAAGGGTCTTCCAGGAGCATAGTTCTAGTAGTTGGGGAGAACATAGTCTTAATGTTTTTTGAAGGATAAAACTAAGCATCACAAATCTTACCCCTTTACTTTTTATAGGAATAATAACTCAAGTCAGTGGATTGCTACTTTTGGCACAACTATAATACCACCTGCAGTAAAACGAAATGTGAGGAAAATCATAGTTCACGAAAACTACCATAAAGATACAAATGATAATGACATTGCTTTGGCTCAGCTGGCTACCCGAGTTGAATTTTCAAATGTAGTTCAGAGAGTTTGCCTCCCAGATTCATCTATGAAGTTGCCACCCAAAACAAGTGTATTTGTCACAGGATTTGGGTCCATTGTAGATGATGGTAAGTAATTTTAATCTGATTTTCTTTGCACGGGAATGTCTCCAAATTGAACCAGCTTTTTTAGGGAATCTATGTTAAGCTTTTCATTAAAATAATGTTGATGTTTCTGTATAGGTGGCCCAAGACAGAACAGACATCTGTGGGTTAAAAAATAAAAGAAATTTGTATCTCTGATTTCTTAATCAAATTACTGATGCAAAAAAGGATGGGTTAATACAGATGAAAATAACAGATTGTGTTAGATAATATAAGAAAGAACAAAAAGAAAGTATTTAATAACTGTATACTTCCTAAGTGTAAATAGTTTTAAATCACAATCATTTTTTGGCAAGAACTTAGGTCTCTTCTTTACTTTTAATATAAGTTTGCAATATATAATTACATTCACCTTGGGGAATTGAAAACATACATCTATACCACATCTTAATCATTTTTACATACACTGCCCTTCCCAACCCTTCTCCTCTCCGTCCCCAAGTCCTTCTTCATTTTAATGAGAATTTATGATTGTTACAAACATGAATGTTTTGAAAATTCTCATTTTTGTTTGCCAATAAGATTAGCATTTTTATTCTATTTCACTTAAGAAATACTTAATATCTTAAGTATATTATAAGAAATTAGATCAAAACAGGTCAATTACTTAAAGTGAAAACTAAGTATATAAGATTCTATCAAGGGTATCTTAAAGAGACTTGAAGACAAATGCTATTATATCTTAATCTAGTTCTTTTTTGATAAAATTCTATTACTGTGAAGTTTTTCAAACTATCCTAAGCCTATCCAAATCAACGTTGTGAGAAAGTCCTGCTTCTTTTTATTTTCTCTGCCCTTAACTGCTGGCTCATGAACATTCCCCAGCAGCCACACCCAGAATCCCTAACCTACTTCTTTTACAGTTACTCAGCTTCTCCTCATACCCAGCCTGTTCTGTGCTGGCGTCAGATTTCTGGTATGCACTGAGCATTCACTTCATTTCCCGTTCCCATTCCAAGACTATATTCTATAGTATGCTACTATACAGAAGATGTAGTAGTGTACTATAGAATAAACTATGGCAAATAGATTTGTGCAGCTGTGTCCTGGTTTCTACCTATATAGCTTTTAATAAATCAGTAAATCTCCATGACTTCCATTTCCTTATATGAAAAATGTGTCAGTTGGACAAGATCAGTATGAGTTCATAAAAAGAAACATGCATAATATTTTTCATAATATATATGCGATGCACAATACAATATAAAACTAGGGCATATATATTCAGGGCTTCTTGCATGAACTCGTTTAAGATATCATTATGGTTTGAATCTCAAATATTTTGCAAAAGTCGTGTACTAAAGACTTGGTCTCCAGTTGATAGACTTTCGTATGGTGATTGAATCATGAGAGCTCTAACTCCATGGGTGGATTAATTCTCTAATGGACTTATACTTTGATAGTATGATTGAGAAATCCTGGAAATTTAGGAGATAGGACCTACATTGTGGTGGCCAGCGCTTGGAGTCTCTATCATGTCCCCAGGTCCCCTTTCCCTGGTGCTTTTACTCTCTGCTTCCTGGCTATTATGTGATGAGCAGCTTTGCTCTGCCATGACATTCTTCACTGCCACAGACCCAAAGCAATGTTCACAACCACAGACTGATATCTCTCAAATCATGAGCCAAAATAAACCTTCCCTCCTTTAAACTATTTTTTTCACATATTTTGTCACAACAAAGAAAAGTAACCAGCATACACAGAAAAAAAAATTAAGAATAATTAAGTTTAATTAAATTTATGCTTTTGCTCCTAGAACTATATCATTTACCTCCCGTGTCTTACGGTTGGGTTTGAAATATACATTCTTTGTGTAACAGGACCTACACAAAATAAGCTTCGTCAAGCTAGAGTGGAGACCATAGGTACTGATGTGTGCAACAGAACGGATGTGTATGACGGTCTGATCACTTCAGGGATGTTGTGTGCCGGCTTCATGGAAGGGAAAGTAGATGCGTGTAAGGTGAGTGCAAAGTCAAGATCAAACTGTAAAACTTGGCTATTTCTAAGTTTTGTACATATTTACCTGGGTGAATTCAAGATCTAAATTTATTCAATAAGCAAATGTTATGATATTGTTTTTACAGTGTGGCAACACAAAAATTAATCACTTTTTATGCAGTATTTTATTTAATGTAATGAGATATAAGTGGTATTATAATTATCCCTACTTATAAATCAGGCAATTTATATTCTATTCCATGCTTTTGGTTCACACAATTACTTTTATGATCTACTGTTATTTTCTTAAATGCAATTTTAAAAAAAGACAGAGAAACTTGTCCTCTGAAGACCGTGTCATTCGTCTCTATTATCACATTATTTTCCTCCTCCAGTTCTCTGTAGTCTGTCTCATTCTTTGATAGAATCAGGTGTTACTGGTGTAACACCTGAAATAGTTTTCTATCCTAAACCTAAAATGCAGGATCAACCCTGAGAGGTTTAAATGCTGGACTTCTAGCTGCTAGACCTCTTCATCTCCAGTGATCTGTGCTCTTCCTCAGTCTCCTCACGCCCCACGTCACACACTGGGCCTTAGCCTCAAAAATGGCTCCACCTCCAAAGTTACTAATTGCCATCTTCCTACCTGACTACCATCCTTTTCTTTTGCTGTCTCCCTGCTTTCCATCTACTCTGGGGTCTCTGAGTATATTTTCTATGTTACTACTTCATCTCACTCCCAATACATACTGTTAGTATCAAATATTTGTGGAAAGATTCTATACCCATTAATTGAAATTTTTTTTGTATACTGGGATTGAACTCACAACCTCACGTTTGCCAAGCAGACACTTACACCACTGAGCTAAACTTCCAGCTATACCCATTAATTGAAATTGGCTTAATTTCCATTAATTCCTCAAGCCACTTCAGTGTACTTTTTCTGTAAATCTCACCAAAATAGCTGTTCTTAAGCTCTCTGATGACATCTGTGTTCTTAAAATCCACCAAATATTTTGGTTCTATGCTTTTTCTATCTTATAGCAGCATTTAATACTGTTTACCATTTCTTTCTTTTGAAATATTGCCTTTCTTTGGCCTCTAATGATTTTCTACCCCATTTTCTCCCGCTACTCCATATCCAGTTGATTATCTGGATCCACAGACTCTATCTTCTTAAATATCTTTCCTTCTCCATTGTCTCTTCTGCTTTTTCCTCTCCCATCAGACAACTACTCTAGCCCTACTACTTATTTCCTCAGTATCACTTTTATAATTTTAGTAAATTACCAAATGAAAGTCAGATTTATTTTTTTTATTTCAAAGGGAATAAAACAGAGCAATAAAATGAAACAAAACAAAAACAGTAATAGGACTGAAGGAACTCCACCATCACTGCTATATTACATGCTGGTATCCTCTGAATAGTTGCCCAGACCACTGGCCCCAGGCCTGCTTGGTCAATCAAATAACATAAATGTTGGGCTGTTTCCCTGCTTTGGTTATTATCATCTCAGCCTGTGTCGTGTCCAGCTGCGCGTGGATGAGGAGTGGGGAGGGAGGCAGAGGCAGCTTCCTTGCTGCTCCCCTCAAGCCAACAAGGCCTCTGCTGGCCCACGGGGAGGCTGCAGTGCCTCCTCCCTGTTTCTCCCAGTGGCTAGCAGGGCCCCTACTGGCACATTCAGGGTGAGGGCACAATGCTCCCTTGGTGCTTCTCGTGGGGGCCGGTCCTCTGTTGACACATGGGGGACGTGGACCACATTTCTTCCTTATTGCTTCTCCCCAGCAGCCAGCAGAAGTAAGACTGATTTTTAACTAGATGATAATCTGGTCATGTCAAATCCCTCCTTGAAAATCTTCAGTGCATTTTTATAGCCTTACAACAACAACAACAAAAATAAAATAGTAAAAAAAGAACCTCTTAACAAAAGCCCAAGATCTACAAGGCTCCACACGGGGCCATATCATTCCAGCCTCATCACGTACCACCTTCTCTCCCCACACGCCCGAGCCCCATCTACCTGCAGACCCCTCCACGTGCAAGGCTCCCTCAGTCACAGCACGTTTAGAACCCTTCCCTCTGTCTGGACGACATTTCATCCCCACTTTCCTTTTCATGGGCAACCCAGCTTCTTTCAGCAATTAGCTCTGCTTTATTCCAGTTATAATCCCTGATCAGTTGGACTTCCCCGTGGGGTGTTTCCACAAGTACACTCCACTGTTGTAACTTTGCATTTGGGGGGTTGCTTAATAAACTTAAACTTTAAGCATAAGGGCCTATTCAGTTTCAGTCATTATATTCTTAGTATCTATAAAAAATCCTTGTACATATAACAATTGATTTTTAAAAATTACCTTAAAAGCAATTGAAAGAGATCCAGAAGAGTAAAATACCTTGTGCAAGTTCACCTGGTCAGCAATTAAGAGGACTGAGCTGAAGCTCAAACAGTCCAGCTGCTGTGAGAACTCACTTTCAACTGCTACAAGTATATCTCTGTACTTAACTCTCCTTTGTCCCAAAACAGACTTAAAGGGCTTTTGAAAATTCATCAAGGAAACATGAATACCAAGTAGTAAAAAAAAACAAAAAAAGAAAAGGAAACCAATGGTACATTCACTGTAGGTTAAGCTAAGAATATTCAAGGGAAGGCTTTGAAATTTCCTACTTGTGTTATCACAAATAATCTCATGTTTAGCATTCTATATGTTTAAATGTTATTAAAGTCACAAAAATAATACATGTATGCTGAACCAGGGTATAACCATTCCATATGAATAGAGGTTAACATTCCTAAAAATAACAATGCACTTTAAACTTTAACATAAAATCTTAACTAGTCTATGTTCTGGTTCTCTGCTCTATGTAACAATTTCCTTTTTATTTATGGAAAAGAAATAATTATAATGACCATTGTGGTAAATTAAAGGGATCAACAATTTTAAACATATGTTTGCTTTTATTCCAGGGAGATTCTGGTGGACCTCTGGTGTACGACAAGCATGATATCTGGTATATTGTTGGGATAGTAAGCTGGGGACAGTCATGTGCTCTTCCTAAAAAGCCTGGGGTCTACACAAGAGTGACTAAGTATCGAGACTGGATTGCTTCAAAGACTGGTCTCTAGCATGGGTGGTTCATTATTTACATCCATGGCTTGCAGAGCTGAAACTCCTCATCTTGTATATTATTTAAATTCCTATGTTTGGAATTGTTGCTTTGGCTAGATGTCAAAAAACTGTTCAGGACCAGACCAGTACAATATAATGCAGCCTTTGTGTACAAATGACCAAACTCTCCCTATGACATGATGAAGAAGACACAGCAAGTGACAGGTAGCACTAATTCTTCATCCAAAAGAGGAACCAAGGTACTCATTAATAAATAAATGCCTGAAGATACCTTGCCTCTGTGGGAGATGAGGACCATCATTTTTCACAGGCTGTGAGGAGCTGCCAAGCTGTCACAGTCTTAGCTCATGCAATATCTGGGGCACCTAGGATTCTTCTCGTGAAAATCAAACAACAGTCTTTCCTGAAAGTTTGGGGCTTCAATACTTTACAACTGAAGAGAGAACATTTAATGAAAAGAATGGAGAAGCATATAATCTTCGATATAATTTGAACTCTCACCTGGGTTTATATCCCACAGTATGGAACATTATCATTCACCTCAGAAGTTGTCATCTATTTAAATGTTTCTGAACTTGCCATTAGCACCATTATTTACTTAAGCACTCATGTCAGGAAGCGTGTTGTGTCACAAGAAGCACTTCTGAGTTCTTCTTTAACAGGATCTGCCATCCGTGCATCATTCCAGTCATCCCCGCAAGAAGAAAAAGGAGACTCTTGGGAACATTTTTCCATTAGTAAAAGAAGGGTGAAAAACATACTGGATTGCTTGCTAACACAGTTGGTTGCAAATGATTACTAACAGGAAAGACTCTAAATTTTTGATGGAAGGAATCATCGAATCACTTAATTAGAAATCTCTGTATCAGAAGATGACGAGTGGTGTTTTGTTAAGTTTGCAGCTCTCTTGTGTAAAACATGCAACACAGAGCTGGATTTTCACTAAGTGCTGAATAGGTTACCATCTGTTGTCATGCTTTTCACAACAGAAAGCCTCTGGACTCACCTATAACCCTCAAATGTGAGACTTCAATTTGTTGCTCTAACTAGTCAGAAAAAAAAAACTGGCCTATTCATTTCTTTAATGATTGAAGCTTTTGTGTCTTTTTACATGCCTATGTTTATATGCAATTTATTTAAACAAGATAAATATAACTAAAAATATCCTTGTTGTTACAACTCAGTAATATACACATAAAAGGCTCAAGCACACATACTTCTTTTTTAAAAAGGAAATTTCCCCAAATTCTGAATTAATGACTTGTAAAAACTGGAGATCATCAAGAAAAAGAGAGTTAAAAACTTAAATTCTTACATTTACTTAATTTAAATTTTTATGCCTATATATAGCAAAGAAACATCTGAACCTTTGCAAAGAATATTTAGTGCTTTCAAAATGGGCCTGAGTGATGTGGATTTTTATATTAAAGTTAATAAAATCTCTTTTGGTAGATACAGGAAAACAAATCTGTCTACAAAAATTACTTTTCCCTATGCAAGTTGTATAATAATGATTACAGGATTTTGTGTAATTTTATTTATATTTCATAAGACTGTGATAACTTTTTCCGTAAAAGAATCTGTGAAACTGTTTATATTGATTTAATTATTTCTCCTCACTTCCATTCGGTGATAGTTTAACACAAGTCAGAACATTTGTGGTTAAAGTGCATTGCCAACTTGATTGGCTTTAGGATCGCCTTAGCGGTGATGGTGAACATTCTAGAGATGAGTGCCCAAACTGCAACACACAACCCACTTATTTATTGCAAAGTGAAAACTGTGCAATTAAACCTGAATACTGCGGTTTTAGTTTAGAAAAAGCAACTCACAAATTAACATCTTTTCTCTTAAAAGTTAAACAGCACATGTGCTGTAGATTTGCCTTACTTTTGGATGTGTCCAGATGGGCCCTCGAGGTGTAACCTTAGGACTTACAAACAGTCATTTACATTTGCTCTGTGCTGCTGTTGTCTTTGCTGCGTCCTGGGCAGCATGACCTAAGCAAATACCCTCTACTATGCTCTTCCATATTGGTGTTTCTGCCTTGGAGCATACTAACGATGGACTAAACCCCTGGAAACCTGAGCCAAATTAAGCTTCTCTTCCTTTAGGGTGTAGGTGTCGGTTATTGTGTCCTAGCAATGGAAAACTGACTAATATAAGAAACGTGTAAAAAAAAAAATAGGGTCATTGCTATGACTATGCTTGACCATGTGATTTAAAAGGCTTTAGAACTTGCTTGAAGGAGGTTCTGGGAAAAGTCCAGATGCTAAATGGAGAAGCCCTAGACTTCTGTTACCAGAAGCAGATGGGTGATCTCAGCGGTGCTATAACCACAGTGCTGACAGAAAAGCAGGCAGCAAAGCCAAGGCTCAGGTTTCAGTTGGAAACAGGGATTTCACTGACACCTTGAGTAGACCCTATGTGTTTTGTACTCTGGCAATAAAAAAAAGTGTGCCATCATTTTGCCCACATCTTGCAACTTGGTGGGAGACTGAGATTAATGGTGATAGACAAATCGATGTAGGACAGAAAATTTGAAGACATCTCAGCATTCAGGCTGTCACATGAGCACGGTTAGCTACTTTTAACCAGATTTATAGTGATAATTGAGATCAAAACATAAAGAAAAATTTGAAAAACTTAAAACCATGTGTAAACTTGGGGCCAAGAAGGTGTTCAAAAAAATAGTAATATTAAAAAGAAACAGATGACTTTGTATAGGAATAAAAACAAAAATGCCTTGAGTCATCTCATAATTTAGCAAGACTCCACCCATCACAGGCACAGGGATGAAAAAGTATAAATCTTTCCTTTAAGAAGACTTCTTAGGACCTTTGCTTGAGGAAGGACTTCCTGGGGAATTGGTTCCCAGGATTCATTTCACTGAGTTCAGCCATTCAGGCACCCAGAGGCTATCACAGCATGGTCTAAGGAGCCTGGCTGTTGCTTCTGCTAGCAGGAAACCTTGAGATCATCTGTGTGACGTTGAGTTTTACTGGAAAGCAGAATACAGAAGCTATGTAGTCATGGAGGCTTCCACCCAGATTTTAAAAAGAGGGCCAGGAAGGCCAGACAATGAGCCTTCTGAATGGTGACGTAGAGACAAAAGGAATCTGGAGATGTCAGGAACATGGAACATCTGAGGAAATCACAAGCAGTGCACAGAATCAGCCTAAGAGAAAAGACTTGTAGGTTGCAACCAACAAGGTCATCAGGATTGGGCCACCCAAACTCTCTGGCGAATGTATCTCACCATTTGCTTTACAGGCTGGTTATGGAGCTACAGGACTTTGCGTTTGCCCTGCTAATTTTCAGTATTGTTTGGGACTGAAATTTTTCTCATTCCATAGTCTTCCCATTTTGAATCAGAATGTTTACCTTCTACTATTGTATGTTGGGGTATGTAACTTTTTGCTTAAACAAGGATTCACAATTAAGAATTTGCCTTGTGTCTGATAGGAGACTGGCTTGGACTTCAACAATGCTGAGACTTCTGAGACTTAGGGAGAGAGATTATTGTATTTCAGTTATAGATTGGACAGTTGTATCATATTAGTCAGAACTATTACCTCATGTTTATTTGGAAATTAAGTATAGTTTAAGCAGATGTGTTTGAGTATCAAGTTGATGAAAGGTGGGATGTGACAGTTAAGGTAGATTGCTAATTTAATTGGGATATTTCCAGAGGATTATAAAGCACATTTCTGAATGTTTCTGGGTAGGTGATAAAGGTCTGACTTTAGAGTATATATCTGGTTCCTTACCTCTTTTTGGTGTTTTCCCCTGGTTTTACTCCCTCCTTGATGTAAACTAATCATCTTTGCTTTGCTATGCCTCCCCACCATGATATTTCTGCTTCAGAACCAGCTGACCATAACTGAATTCTCTGAAACTATGGGCCAAACTAATCCTGCCCTCCTTTAAACTGTGGATGCCAGTATTGTGTCCCAGAAACAGGAAAGAAAACTGATGAATTCAGAAAAATAAATACAAATATTCACAAGGAAATCTAAGCAATGGAAAATGGATTTTTAAAATCCTATTTTCAGTTTGGCCTATTATTAAATGGTGTTATGGAATCATATAATATTTTTATTTCACATTTTTCATCTTTCAAATGGGACATTAAACTATTTACCTCATAGAGTTTTTGTGAGGCTTTCCAGATGACTAGTGAAGTCAAAGAATATTTAAGACTTAATCAAAACCGTAAGGTTTATTGTAAAATTGTATCAATACAAATAAATGTTGAAAATACATTAATGTTATAAAGAAGTTTTGCTTGTGGTTTAAATTAATCAGTAAAGACACAGTAGGTGTTACCTCTTATGTGGAGACACTATAGTAATATTCCTTATTATGTTTGTAGGAAAAAAGCCAAACAACATGTCAGACTTTTCTTAGAGACAGATCAATTTTATTAGACTGATAGTAATCAAAAGCAAAATCTTAACATAATCTTAGTGGAATTTTGGGTGCTGTAAGAACTAAAGAGTTAGTTTGTAATGCCAGAAAATGATTGAACTAAAAATCTTTGTTAACAGTTGGTTTCACTCAGTGATACACTAAATTCAGCAACAATAAGAACATTAAAAGTGTATCTTTGGAATCTACCTTGGGAGTGTATAAATTTTTTTAAAGTCAGAGAAATAATGTGTGGGAACATTCTTTCATTCAATCATAAAAATGAAAAATGGACTTACTACCAAGCCTGAATTAATGTTAGATTCATAACTTTTAGTACAAGGAAGAATTTCAGAGATTATCTTCATCAATCTTCTTCTATGAGTAAAGGGATATCAAGGCCAAGAGTATTTCTTCAGGGTCATACAGTGGGGTACTGTGGGGAGTAACTGAGCAACAGCTGAGCTGTGGCTGAGCCATGGTTGGTTGGCGAACCCATTGGGATTAGAGCAGAGTCCCAGGAACACGGAATGCCAGAGGCAGACCATGTACACAAGCTGACCTCCAGTGCAGTTGTGTGTCAGCAGGTGTCCAGCCTTTTAGTGGTCCCCCAGTTAACTACAGCACAAATAGCTCTGAGAATGATCTACTTTCCAGGGTCTCAACAAAACACTGAGACCTTGAGTTTTCAACCCCATCGCCTGCTTCCCCGTCCCACCTTTATACTGTGTATAAATAAAGACTTCAGGGCTGGCACGACGTTGCTGCTTCTCCATCCGCACCCACATCCCACCTGGCCCCAGCTTGCTTTTCTTAGGTGTTTAGTCCTTTCTTAACCCCCTGTAGGTCCCTGGCAGGACCCCACTGGCCATGAAGGATGTCGCGGGGTGCAGCAGTGAAGGAACAGAACTGGACGTTCTTGTATCCAGTCTGCTCTTCCCTCTGATATCAGTCTGGGTTCTAGAGGTTCCACAGCCAGAAACAACAGAGTGCTAGAGTCCTTGAAATGAAATGATAATTGCCACAAAAGTTATTCTTGAAAGAAAAAGTTTATGACTTTATGACTAAGTTTATGATCAAGACAAGAACCCATTTAATATTATACATAAGCCTATATAAAACCTTAATATAACTTAAATCAGAAATCTACACAATGTTTTAAAATGAGCAGCAAAAGCTTTTGGACTTTACTAAAGTGTCAAATTTTTTGTCTTTGATCTTTTTAGTGGTCTACTACAAAATCTGTTTTACAAACAAAACTATAGGAGGCCATAAACTGCAGAAAGCTAAAACCCTTTTAATTAGAATGTTTTGTAAAAGCTTACAAAAATGAACATTATTTTACAGTTCAAGTTTCTTTCTTTAAATTTTAACTATAATTAATAAGAAATGAGGAAAATAATTTTATTATATAATTTTGAAAAGAGAAACATGCATTGCTGCCAGCTGTCTTTAAGCTATCAAATATATCTGCCTCATGATGTTGTGACACCGTTATATTAAATTATGAAAGTAGAGAATATTTAATATCTGCTCAAAAAATGCAGTTATTCTGGGAATGTAGCTCAGTGGAAGTGTATCCATCTAGGATGAACAATTCCCTGGGTTTGATCCCAATACAAAAGAAATGACACAAAGAATATTAACCACATCATCAAGGACAGGCAATGCTGCACCTGTGCTGCAGTTGTAAGGAAGATTTTATATACCATTAACATTTTTACCAGTAGTGCAGTTTTGTATGTATCACCAGTATTTCTGTTTTATTGATATTGTATTTAGCATTTTCTCATGAGAAACATATAGTGCATCTCTTGTGGCTAATATTAATCTATCAAAAAAGAAAAATATTAGCCAATTCAAATAAATTATGTATTTGTTAGTTTTAAGGATAAACATTATCCATCTTTATTTTATTTAAACCATATTTTACCATAGTATGACCAACAGTCATTGGACCTTTTCCAGTGCTAATATGTAGCTGACAGTGGAAAATACCAAAACCAGCTGAGATTCAGCAAACAGAAAAGTATTATTTTAAATTATTAACGTTTCAGCAACTTAAGCCACAAAGCTATGCCACAGAGAATATGCTAATCATGTGTCATTGGTTTTTCTATAAAATCCTATTTTTGATACACCTTGGTTCACCCTCAAAGTATGTCTTTCCAGAGTATTGCAGAGAAGGAAGTTGTCCTGTTTGATAGTTCTCTTTTCTTACTCCCAGTCTCACATAGTCACCACTAAAATGTTTAAATGCCCTCTCCTAAATACATCCAGCAGGAAAAGTTTCACAATTACATAGAATTGCCATATTTTATGGTTTTAATAACAATTTTTCATCTATATTCAAAACAAGTACCTTCCAGTGAACTTCAAGACTTTATCTTCCTATTTAGATCTAGGTGGAGATTCCTCAATCCTAGAATAAGTTTTCAACCCACTAATGTTTCTCCTACAGGATATACTCTTTAAGAAAAGAGAGTTCAAAGGTTAAATGTTCAAGTAGAGCTGAACTATGAAGAAAATAAGTACAGTAGTTTTAAGTGGAGAAGAGAAAAAGCAGAATCTGAGACTAAAAGAAAGCCATGGGAGAGGCAACTGCTAAGTCACACTACTTGATAAAAAGTTTCATAAAAGAAAATAGATGAAATTAAAAATAAATTTGTTTTAAAAACTGAAGAAACCAAATGACTTATTAACTCTTTTAAATAATTAAGGGAATATTGCAATGGTGCTAGTTTAAGGCATTATTTTTATAATCCTTGCAATGGTGCTAGTTTAAGGCACTATTTTTATATTCCTTGCATTTAATCCTATCTTGGATTTCTTTTCTTTTTTATTTACTTCCAGCTCCAGTCCTCACTGCAGTCTTTTAAAAGTGCTGTAAGCATCCTGTGATGTCCCAGTCTCCACCCAATCTCTTGGATGACACTCTATTTTCCATATCACTTGAAACAAATGTGGGTGCCAAAACTGTTTTGGAAATTTAACATATGCTTGGAATATGAATATCAAATGTTTGCTAAAACTAGTTAACATTATTAAGCCCATAGTTAAAAGGACAGAAATTAATGTTTTGCTTTGGTATTATGGCCAACAGAATTCTGAAATGGTACTCTAAGAGCTTCTGCCTTCATCCTGCTATGAATATGATGAGATATGCACAAGCAAGAGAGGTTTGCAGATGTGATTAAAGTTAAGATTTTAATATGTTAAGGCTTCCACATCAAAACAACAAACGCTTTTCACTGTTCTAGAAGCTGGGAAGTCTAAGATTAAGACAATGGTAGATTCAGTGTCTGGCGATGTGATAGACATCACATTCTTCCTTCAAGCTCACATGATGGGAGAAGCAGGGCAGTTCTCTGTGGTTGCATCTCAGAAGTAGGTGTTTCCCTAGCAGAAAAAAAGTCAGAGAGATTCCAAGGATGCAAAGATACGCACTTAGCTCTCTTAAAGATGGAAGGGCCCTGTGTCCAGGAATATAGGAACCAGGACAGCCCTGGCTGAGAGCAAGCAACAGGCTACTTAGTCCTGCTGAAAGGAAAAATTCTTCCAATAAGCTGAAAGTGCTTGGAAATGATTCTTTGTCACTTCCTCCCGGCAAAATTCCAGCCAGATACTTGCTTTCTGCTACGACCCTTAGGAAAAAACCTAGTTGAGTTTACCTGGATGTCTGACTTAGAGAATAAAGATAGATAACAAACAGCTGTTGTTTTAAGAAACTCAGCTCCTGATAATCTAGTACACAGTAACAGAAAACCGACAAAAGTATACACCTTTTTCTTGAAGTACAGGGTATTGAACTGAAGGCCTTAACATTGAGCTACACTTTAGCCCTTTTTTGACTTTCTGTTTTGACACAGGGCCATACTGCCTTAGAATATTTTATTGCTCTGTCATTTTGAACACTCTCTCTCTCTCTCTTTCTCTCTCTCTCTCTCTCTCTCTCTCTCTCTTTCCTCTTCTCTCTAGTTGTCCACCTAGCAACTCCAGTGGACAGTTCTTCCCCAGGGATTTCAGAATATCCCCACTTCTTCAGTCAAACACTACGAAAAAGACCTCCAATCCCTCACACTCACCCTGGCTGCACTGGTATGTCAATGACCTTTTATTTTTCAGCCCTTCAAAAAGGACTGTAGGGCCCACACTACCTCTCATTAAATTCTTGAGGAACAAAAGTGTGGCATCCAGTTGAATGGTCTCTGAGGTGAGGGCTTGGGGCCCCCCATAGTGACCCTCAGTAGCTCTTCAAGACCTTGTCCTCATGGTGAGGAATGAAGAAATGGGGTTCTTAGTGGAAAATGGAGTCACAACTGATATAATGTGCAACACAAGTCTATTTAAACTGTGGGTTCAGAGGAAGCAAGAGAGGAGCTATCAACAGTAGGGTGCTCTTGAAGATGGAGCACATTCCACTCAAGATGCCCAGTGAGTCTGAAGTGTACTTCAAATTCATAGGGGAAGCTGGTTTCTAAAATTAACTGTTTTACTGATTGGTGCCAAGGGTAAGAGCATAGACTATTCTAAGTGGACCTTGAGGAGAAAGGGCCAAGGGTAAGAGCATAGACTATTCTAAGTGGACCTTGAGGAGAAACTTGGTTAGGCTCTGTTTAAGGACATGATTAACCTTTTAGAATCCTGAGGTGAGGGCTTGGGGCCCCCCACAGTGACCCTCAGTAGCTCTTCAAGACTTTGTCCTCATGGTGAGGAATGAAGAAATCAGGATCAGCCTTTGTTTCTGGGAAGAGGACAGGGTAAGTTGGGGATTTCCTAAACATGCAGTAAATGTAAGTAGCACTTTCACAAGCATTACATGTCTCAAGCATACAGTAAGGTACATTTTTTAAGCATGTGGTACACAGAGAAGCATGTGAACTTTTTGCCATCATCAGTCAAAGATAGCATGTGATGATTTTACAATGTCAGCTATATAGTTCGTGCCCTGTGTTGTTTTATTTTGTTTTTTGTTTTGTTTTTGTGTGCATGTGTGCATGTGTGTGTGCGTGCATGTGTGTGTATGTGTGTGTGTTGTGGCCTATGGTCCTCTAATGTGCCTCTACTGAAGGATACCATGTCTGGAAAATCTTTTCTTTTGGGGGCTTCTTAGCTATTTTTGACTTTGGATCCTAAATTTCTTGCTCCTTGCAAAACTCCTCTGTTTTCCATGGAGATCCCTGAGAAAGAGCTCCAGAAACAGATTTAATTCCAGTTTCTTTTGGGGACCTCAAGCAGGGCCCAAAACTTTGGCCCTAACAATCCCAACAAACTTGCTTTCTATTTCTAACCAGAAAAAAAGGGACAAACTTCAGGGCTACTCACAGAAGCTGGAGACTTCCTCTAGCCCGTGGCCTTTTCATCCGAACAGCTGGACCTTGTAATGAAAGTGTGGCCTCTCCGTTTATTGATCTTAGGATCAGCTACATGCCTTATTCCTAAGGCCAAAAAGGTGACTCTCCACCAGCCCTTACAAGGACACTCTTCACACAACTTCTCTGACCTTCTCGGCCATCATGCTTCAGCCCTTTTCCTAGCCCTGGCCTGAGTTCGCCCTACACCCTCAGCTCTGAGCACCTTCAGTCATCTCCCGCTGCTCATCTGTTTTAAACCCTGTCAGGCTCCTCCCAATACCTGCCTCCCCAAATGGCACTACTGAGCTCCTCATTTTGTTCTCACCCTCTTCCATCACAGAACCTTGGAATGTATTCCAGAGTCCCCTATCTGGCTTATTGATGGGAGTGCTTTAAAGACCACCCCTTCCCAGGCAAAGTCATTGAAGGCTGCCATGAAAACCAGTTCTCCAGCTCTTTGAGAAGTAACCGAGGTGGCAGCCCTCCCCACAAGAACTCATCACACTCACTGGAGCTCCACCTCTCAAAAAAGATAAAACCATTGATATTTACACAAATTCCAAATGTGTATCTAATGTCCTCCTACATCTGCTGTGAAAGGATTTCTTGCAGAAAAAAAAAATGCCCCTGAAAAACATGGGTCCCTAATGCAGGACCTTCTGGGGTGACTCTTCCACTCCATATAGTGAATGTCATCCATATCAAGGGCCGCTAAAGGCCTAACTCACAGGAAGACCATCTCAGACATCATTTATGGAAAAAAATGAAGCTAATAGAGTAGCAAAACAGGCACTTACCAACTCTCTCGCCTTTCTTCACTTTTTGTTCCCTACTATACCTTCTTACCCCCAAGAAATTACTCTAAGAACAGGGGACACTTTAAGAGGAATAGTGTTCATTCTACATGAAAAATTGGTCTTTAAAGCTCACAAAACAAATCCCTCTCATCTTTCCTTGAGTGGTTATAGGCTGGATCATTCTCTTTGCTCCAATTCCTCATCCTCATGTACATCTCACCTCTAGTTTTAGGACCTCTCTGCAAAACATTATCGTCCAGTGCTTGATATATCAAACCCCATAGTAACCTCAGCCTTCCTGCTTCTGCAGCCATCAATTTCAGAGATCCCTCCCTGGCACTAGCTGACAAATAAATTCTGCTCACATGCCCCCAATAAAAACCAAAGATACCTCCTTGTCCTAGTTGACGCCATTTCAGGATAGAGGCCTTTCCTACATCAAACTAAAGGTCCTCTGAAGAAGCACATATCCTGCTCACTGAAATCACCCCCTGCTTTGGACTGCCAACCTCCAACTAAACCAATAAAGGACTTGAACTTACCTCACACATCACCCAGCAGGTAGCCTCCTCCTTAAATGTAATCAAGAAGTTCCACATCCCATTTCAACCCCAAACCCCAGGTAAGGTTAAAAGGTTAATCATGTCCTTAAACAGAGCCTAACCAAGTTTCTCCTCAAGGTCCACTTAGAATAGTCTATGCTCTTACCCTTGGCCCTTTCCAAAATCAGGTCTCTTCCCCTCAATGCTCAGCCCCTTTAGATTCTACACAGAAAGCCTCTCACTGCCTTCAAGTGCCCTTCCTCCAATCCATATCTCCCCTACCCTCTTTTGAATCCCTTACTAACATCCTTTCAAATACCCTTAGGTATCTCTTGTGGAATTTGCTGACCCTCCCCTCCTCAACCCTCTGGCAGCCTGGACACCCTCCCTCCTCCATCCCTGCAACCTGGAGACTCGGTGTATAAAGCCCACTAAACCCTCTCAGGGATTAAATCCAAATGGACAAGCACTTTCAAGTAATTCTGACCACCCTAATAGCATCAAAATTAACAGGTCGTACCTCTGGGTCCACTTCTGTCTATAAAAGGACCCCCTTGACTAGAGCATACCAACTGGATTCAGTCCGTGAAGATGTCCAGGCTGCCTCCTGTGACTGAAGAGATGGAAAGCATAGCTAGACAGCCCCATTAGACCCTGTCTTTGTAACTTTGTCCAGTTTTGACCATGCTAATAGAAGAATTCCCCATTATTTGCTCTCTTCCTTCCTAGACACCATAATCTAAGACCTATGGCTACAAGGAACCTGCTCAGACTCTCCTCCAAACAAATCTGCACTTTTACTTCCTGTGTTGTTCTGCTCTGATCCTGTCTTTCTCAGTGTTACTCATCTTCCTCACCCCTAACAAAACATAGAACGTTCCTAGGTAGACAGTCAGACACTCCCTCACACAGGTAAAATTGTCCAAACCTTTTGGGAGGGTTAGCTTGTGAGAGACATGAGGAGACCCAAAAGTGGGTGGCCATGGAGTCCACTTCACAGAGGAAATTTTATAGAGCAAAATCACTAGGTGGGTACAACATTATACAAAACTATGATCAAAACTACCTAGTTGCTTAGGTAATATTGATCCAGTGGGAATCCAGTGGGGAACCAGGTCATGTAGCAAGTATACATGGAAAAATCAAAGATCTTATTTAGGAAAGGATGGATTCTAAGGTCTTGACCACCCAAAGAGTGACTGATATGGGCCTGGACTCTGTTAAACCAGGTGATGCCAGCTATTTTATCCCTTGGGGAAGTCTGTAGGCCTGGTCATTATGTCTTCATCTTGAGACCTGGCCTCAGCAGATGTGCCTCAGGCCACAGATGTAATGAGTTTTCACCTTTTGCAGTGACTCCCTGGAAGACCCCTGCCCTGTCTGACTGCCTGTAGCATTTCTGCCTAACTTAGCCATCTATAATACTGGGCCAGATTTAGTAGAACCATGCACCATTGCACTAAGAAAAGCTAGTCAAGGCTCATCCAGGAATTCATGAAAACCAGTGATCTGATTTAAGGATTGCACCTGAAAGAGATGAACACCCAACCTGAGACCAGACTTGTTTTGACTCAGAAGGAGGGACACCACCCCTCGAAAGACAAATACAAAATTTCTCATAATACCTAAGGGTGTTGCTTAGGTTTGATGTTGTTTCACTTTTTTAATTAGCCAGAACCAGGAAATTCTTATTTCCTGTAACAAAGACTTATCAAGCCATTCTTTACCTCCAACCATGCTATTGGCTAACACTTACACATCCCAACTTGTTAAACGAGTTTCTTTCAAATCCTTAAGTAGTTTTGACTCCAGTTGATTCACCAGTCTGAAAGAATACTCAAAATCCTGCTTATCTGCAGAGGAAATCACAAAGCAGCACCAAAGTGGAGGAGTTTGCATTCTCAACATGTGCATGTATCAGTAAGTTCAGTCTTATTTCGTATTTGACGGATTTATTTTCCATTAGTTTGGTCTTTAGTTCAAATTGGAAATGATTCTGAGCTGACAATGTAATCACTTTTTTTCTCTTCTATTATTGGAGAAAATAATGACATAATAATGTTAATACTCTTTTTTTCAGGAAACCATTTTAATGATTTAAAAAGAAAAAGACAAAAAAGTTTAGGATAAAACTAAGTTGAATTAAGTTAAAATTTAATTTAGTGTTGGAATTTAATGGAAAAACCTAGCCTGACAATAAGATAATCACAGGAAGATAAGAGGAAAAGCAGAGACCTGGAAGTAAATTTGTAATTCTCTGCGCCAAGGGACAAGGAAGATAGAATCTCACCTCATCCAAGACTTCAGAATATATCATGGTCCTGGTGAGCCTCCAAAATTATGTATTAAATCGATATCAAAAAATAGCAAATACCTAAATTATACAGGAAGTATTGTTTAATCCTTATTCTGAAATTGATAAATATAGCTGAAGTTCAAAAAAAGTTAAGAATTTTAATATTCTGTAAGAAATCCCCTTTATTTTTTAAACAATAAAGAAAACCTAAAAGCAATTTTTACACAGCATATAGAAAACGAGAAACAAATAAATAATATTTTTGTATCAGATTCAGAAGTCCATAAAAGATAAATCTTAAACATTTTTAATTCTCATTTTCCTGTCTGATTACATTTATATTTTAAAAATATTGTTCAGCATTCTTCATCTACTCATAGGAAGTAAATTAAGAGGAGACGCAAATGCCTTTTCTTATAATGCAGAGCCAGAATAACATTTTTGCAATGGTAATAAGTGGATATGTGTACATAAAATTTAATTAAACACAGAACTCAGTTCCTCCAACAAATTTCTTTCCAATCATTTAAAATGCTCCATTTTTCACTTGCCCACCTTATAGCCCGAAATTAAGTTTTATTTGTTAAAAGACAATATAAGCAAACAAAAAACTTTTCATAATAATTTGTCATATAAGTTTATAGAACTGCTACATATATTAGGATTTGCTTTTTAAATGGGTAATAATAGAGATGATTATTATTATTTTTCTTTTTACTCGAGTATCACCAATCCATAGAAAAATTGATGCTATACCAATAGAAATAATCCAATTAATCCCTTTTTTCTTAATAGTTACACATTTTTCAACTACTATTATTATATGCCTGGAACCATGCATACACTTGGAATTAAGTTTCTGTTTAAGTTTATATTATTGCCAATTCTGTACTATAGCTGATGAAAGACAAAAGAAAGATAAACAAATGATAAAAGGAAGGAATCCAAGAAAATAGAGTAAAATCACAATCTTGAAAGAGCAGAAGACCTGCATCTGTGCCCCAGTCCATGAAATTGAGTGGGTATCTATACTCTTGGTAACTTCCATTTTCAGGATTTTTTTTTTCAATTTCTCCTTCCACGTTATGTAGGACTAGATGGAACGAAATTGAGAAGAGAAAGACACACAAACAGAACAAGAGTAGTTATTTTTCTGAAGTAGCAAAATTCCACTTTTAAAAACACAAAGTCCGATCAAAACATATACATATGCATGTGTACAAACATTCACACAAGTATGCATATATACTTTCACATTTTCTTTTTTAATCATATGCATTTTAAAATAAGACTTAAACACAAATATATTTGTGTTAATTTATGCTCACTTGTTTTATAGGTAAATAGTATGATAATCTTTCGTTTAAATGTATTCTATTTTTAAATTTTTAACACACATTGGAATTCCTATTCTACTTATTAGTGTACTTGAAACATTAGTCTCTCTAATAACACTCTTCCTGGCTAATTTTTGCACAAAATCGAAATTGTTTCCTTAAAATAATTTTCTGCACTTGCTTTCAGAATTCCTGAAATGGCATCGCACAATTAATAAAAATTGTACACTCTAAATTTCTTTTTACATTGACCATTCCCTATAATCCCTTGAATATGAAACACAGTTTTTTTTTTTGCTCAAGACATGTGATGTAAAGAATCACATGTCTTGAGGTCTTCTCAAAAAAGGGTTTCTTATTCTCTCACAATGCAACACACTGCATGATTAAGGAGGTAGTGTCTATCCTTAACGTCTTAGACCATTACTTTGCAAGGCCTTGGGAAATTATCTTGTTCTTTTGAGGCTTACAGAACTCTACTATTCACCCCATTTTTTCTCCTCAGTGCTGTCCTTCTACGTGTCCTATTATGGTGCTTACTGTACATTTCTATTTCATTTTCTATGCCAAGCTGACATTTACCCCTAAGTAGCGTCTGTGCCTGGTAGTGGAAATTATTCATTTTCTTGATCTTCTCATCCATACAATTGTCTCTTGAAATACTACACTCAGATCCACACCCTGGGTTTGTCATGACTTGGAATTATTCTCTCTGAATTATAATTTTAGATTCTATGACTATCCTAAACTTCCTTCTTATAGTATTCTCGTATATCAGAATATTAAAAAAAACTTATTCTTCTAATTTTTTAAATCCTTCAAATGTATCAGTGACTACCTCCAACACACACACACACACACACACACACACACACACACACACATGCACACATGCACACTTACTGCTTATCTTTGTTTTTCTTGGGATCAAAATGTTCCTCATTTGAACAAATTCTCTAATGATATTTAAAGTTACACTACATTCTCTTCCCTTTTGTCTCTTCCATCATCCATACTAGATTCTGTCTAGACAAAATATAACTATCTGAAAGTTTGTTCATCTGTGCCCAGAGCCCTTCATAAATGTTCAAGGGTTATGCATTCATTCAAGCCTGAAACTCTGCCCTGAATTTATACATCCTCTTTATATATTTTCTGAAATTACTATTCAAACTTCTCCAGCTTTCTCAAATGTTCAATTCTTATCTTTTGCCCTCTCATAATACTTCAGAGAAGGTGACTGATCATTTAAATGAGAATTTTAATTTCATACCAGGCCAACAGCTCTAACTGCATCAATTCATGATGTCAAAAGGATGTTTTTCAGCAGTCTAAGTTTCCAATCTACTATGTCAAAACATGTGAGAATGTTAATATCTTACCTCCTTTGACCCACATGAAAGGAAATGTCAAATGAGTGGACCAATGAGTTTATAATTTATAGATTATAATCTATAAATATGTAAATATGCTCTGAACCCAAGCTCCCTCCTAACTTCACAATATCTACTAACACATTTTTTGTCATTGTAAGTATACTCAAAAATATTCCATCCACAAGAAAAAAGATATCCTCTATTAACTCCGCGTACTGAAATGACTTTTCTCTCTTTCCATTCACAAACTCATAAAATATTATTGACATATTCTGTCTCCTTTGCTTACTTTTAATTTTTCTTCTAACTATTCTCTTACTATCCTTTTTATTTTGACTGGTCTGCCATTTCAGACATGTGCATTACACTCGCTTTATCGGATTGTGTTTGTAGGTGAATTAGCCTTTCTCAACAAAAAGTTTAGGTTTTTTCGAAGGGAATAATTGTCTGCTGACCTCTGTCTTTTAGGGTCTGAAAGGGCACAGCCCAGGCAGTCAATGTCAAGGGTGCCTTCGGCACCAGAGGGACACTTGTGACCTAAGCATGCCTCTGTCACAGAATGAGCCAGTCGCTCAATTAAAGGCCTTGGTTGTCATGGCAACCCTGGCTAGTAACGTACACTACTTTTATGAATTTTTGCAGTTCTTCCAGACCTACTGGAATTATTACAGTTCTGCTCCTCAAAATTTATTCCTTGGTCTCAAGTTTCTATTTTTCTAATGTGCCACATTTGCCACTACTATGGTAATTCTTCATTACAGCCTATATGCTATATAGAGGGACGTGTTAATAAATAAAAGACATGGAGCTTAGGTGAACCAATTACTACTTTTGTGTTCTTGGGGAAATTTCTTTAGCCTCAGTAGCCTCCATTGAAAATGAGAATAATATTTGCCTTATGAATCTCACATAGTTGTTGGATGGATCAAATGTTACAGAGCATAGAAACTGTACACAGTAAAGTGCTATATAAGTTAAAAGCTATTAATTATCTCCATTATTACTATTTACGGGATCTGTGGTTCACCCTAATGCCTTACCATTTTTTTTCTTCCAAACCCATTTGGAGTCAGGTGGAGCAACCTGGGGAAAGCACCACTCCCTGCCTCTTCCGGGGCCCTTAGACTCTCTGAGGACACTTTCTGGAGGCTCTGATTACATGATATAAATGCGCCAGGCAAAGCAGAAAGAGCTTCCAGCATTTAAGATGGCTTATCAGATGCGTACAAACGCCACTGACACTTAGCTGATGTAATAGAGGGCTGCTCCTGGCATGTGTTATGGCACTAACACATTAGGGTGAGTAACAGAAGTAGGGATATGAAAGTTAGCTAGATAGAGGCCTCTTGAGTGCAGTGTTGACAGAAACTCCAAAGAAAGCAAGGCAAATGTGCCTTGAGCACAACACTTACTGTTTACATTTTTTAAAGCATCTAATTGTGTTCTACAGAGTCAGCCACAACCACTGTTTTACTTAAGCCCGATAGCTGCTAATTGAGTGAGCATCCTAATTCTCTTAACATCTCTGTGGAAATTATCTCCAACTTATAATTAATAAACTCAGGCTTTGGTGCCTGAGGCCAGGTCACATGCCTTCTAAGTCCTGAAAACAATCACACTTTTTTCTGTTAAACCTAACCTCCTTCTTAAAGAGCTGATGAGTCTGCTGTGACCAAAATCTTAGGAAAAAGTAATTTTTGAGAAATGTTGTTTTTTATTCTGTTCAATATTATGAGTGAGATACTCTGGGGAATTGTCTGAAACAGACACAGTATTGTGTAAAATTGTACTTCTTTTGTCTGAAACCTATTGGTGCATAGAATCACGTATTACCACGCTGTCTATGAACATGTCTCAAAATGTCTGAAACATGATAATGCAGATAGAAACATTAAGATTCAACCCAGCACA